TTTAGCGTGGTGATCAGTTAGCCTGCAATCATCATGCTCCCCAGCCAGTTTCGGCCCTTCTCCACAGCAGCTATTTCAAATCTTCATCATGTCCCTCAAGTCCTTTTATTCCTACCTGCACCTTATTCGTGAAAATCACCTCAACATTTGGCGTTCATAGAAAATATTAAGGCCGCCAGGTAGACATTTCCATATCTATAATCTGGCTGACAGATACCCAGTCCTGTGGCCTCCTAGCTGTCTCCCTATCGACTTCCTTCCCTTTACATCCAAGGCTATAGCTTCAGGTTGTACATTACCAGGTTCTAGTTCCCCATCTCCAGTGCTTTCCTCAGCCCAGGGCAGTCTGCCATGATTTTCTTAAAACTATTCCTTTCAAGATCATTAATAACCTTTTTTGTTGCTAAATACTGTGGATATTTTTTTTTTTGTCTTTAACCTACATTCTTTCCTTGTAGCATTTGACACTGTTAGCCACTTCTCTGTCCTTGGAATTTTCCCTTTAGCTTCTGACATCATTCTCTGACCTCACTAGCTACTCCTTGTTGGGTCCCTCTTCCTCCTCCTGTCTTTTAAATGTGTGACCACTGCCCTGCCCTTACTTCGCCTCCACAGGTGAATGATCACATCCCATCTGATGTCTCGAGGCTGCTGGAGCCCTTCAGAGACTGTTCATTGCTCCTTACAATGGCTTCCAGGCCCTCCCCGCTCTAGCGCGGCCTACCTCCTCTGTCCCCCTCCAGCCACACTCAGTCATACTGACCTCCTCCTTGCCTAGAGTGTCATGTGCTTTCCTGCTTCAGGGTTTCTGCACTTGCTGTTTGCTCTGTCTGGAATGCTCTTCCTCCATCTCTTTCCTGACCCTCCCTAAAGCCCTCTCTCTGCCCTGGTTATTTGTCATAGTATCCCTTGGCTATGTGTCCCTTCATAGCACTTATCACAGTCTGTAGTTCTGTTGTCTGTTTGCTTTGTGGTCTGTCTTCCCCACATAAAATGTAAGGTCCTGGAGGGCAGGATCTTGTCTATCTTGTTCATCACTCTCTCATTGCTTATCACAGTGCCTGGCACAGAGGAGACATGTAATAGTTTTGGAATAAATAGGGATTCTTAAGCCACATATCTCTTGAGTTTCAGACCTTTGTCTCCAATAGTCTGCTACTAGAAATCTCCACTTGGTGTCCTACAGAATCATCAAGCTCAGCACAGTGGAAGCAGCATTTCTCCTCCTCTTCTCTTCCTGTGGTCCCTAACTTGGTTGAAGGAACCACTGTCTACCCATTTCTCTAGGCCAGAGACTTGGGAGTCCTCATTGATCCCTCCTTCCCTCTCACTTCCTGTCAACCACCCAGCCCTGTTAGCCTTGTTAGCCCCAGCGTCTCTCTCCTCAGTTCCCTCCTTTCACCCTTGCCACCACTGGCCGAGTTTAGGGCCTCCCTGTCTTTCACTGGACTGTTGCCGCAGCCTCCAAACTGGCCCTCCAGCCTCAGTCTTGCCCCCTTCCTCCAGTCTACAGTTCGGTTTTGATAATGTCCTTCTGCTTACAATGTTTAATTGGTTCAGGGTTGCTTCCAGGATCAGATGCAAGCTCCATAGCTCAGTATACAAGAGAATTCACTCCTCAGCCCCTCCCCATCTCTCCAGCTGCAAAACTTGCTTGCCAGTGCAGACGCACACATGCACATAAGCTCTTCTGCATCAAGTGCTGCCCCTCTGCCTCCATCCCTGCCACCTTGCCTTTTCACTCGCTGCTTCTCCTTACTAGAACATCCTTCCCCTCATTTGGTTAAATAGGAATTGGTTTCCACATAGTAAGGACTCAAAAAATGTCATATATGAATACAGACTTTTAAGATGTATGCAAATACTTGATACTCTTCCAGCCCCAAGCCATTAAATTAAAAATGCTTAAAGTCCTCAGTCCCAAGGATGAAGTACTTATACCTGGGACAGGAGTCTATACATAGTGACTGCTGGTTTATTATGTCAGTTATCCAAAGGGATATTTTAAATCCCAGATTGACTTTCCTCACATATTTTCAGTATTAATATCAGCTTCAGTAGGAGGGCCAATTAAGCGATAAACCCCAGACTGGAAGATTATCTGCTGTGCTGGGCTCTCAGATTTTGGGGATCCACACCCCACTGTCATCAGTTAAGGCATGACACTTTCACTGTCTTGGCTGTGGCAAAGACTCTCAAATCTGTACTTCCTCAGGCTTCAGAATAGAGAAACATGGCCCTATTGGAACCTACCATTTGCAACCTAGGCCTTCTTCGCAAAAATTCTTTTCTGTCCCCCATAGCCTCCTGAACCATCTGAAAACAGCCATTATCCTGTTGAGCTAAAGCAAGCTGACAAGGGTGCGCCTTTCTGTGTTCTGTTACAATTCGGGACCTGCCAAAAGGAGCAGTCAGATTTTGTTAGTGGGGTCTAGGTTGAAGAGCAATTAGTACTATGCAGAGAAAAGGTAGGTTTGCCTCAGGTACCCATGATACCCTGGCTGCTGTGCCACATGTGATGTTGGTCCCACAGGGGCCAACGGAGCAAGAGGTGATTGACAGTTGTTAAGTTCTTCGATGCCATACTTAGATGTCCTTCTGGTCCTGTATTCTGGCCTGGGATGTGTTATGCAGTGTAAAGTGACTCAAAGCCTACATCTGACCAAGAAAAGTGACCAAGAAAAGAAAGCTAATTGTATTTGTACATGAACTGGTAGTTTTTTTTTTTTGTTTGTTTGTTTTTTGATATACTTACACTCTGGGATTTTTTGTTTTTTTTTGAGGCAGAGTCTCACTTTGTTGGCCAGGCTAGAGTGCCGTGGCATCAGCCTAGCTCACAGCAACCTCAAACTCCTGGGCTCAAGCAATCCTCCTGCCTCAGCCTCCCGGGTAGCTGGGACTACAGGCACGCGCCACCATGCTCAGCTAATTTTTTCTATATATTTTTAGTTGGCCAATTAATTTCTTTCTATTTTGAGTAGAGACAGGGTCTCGCTCTTGCTTAGGCTGGTTTCAAACTCCTGACCTTGAGCAATCCTCCCGCCTCAGCCTTCCAGAGTGCTAGGATTACAGGCGTGAGCCACCACGCCCAGCCAAGAACTGGTAGTTTTAACCTAGACTGTTAGTGTTCATAGGAAATAGTTCCTCACAGAAAAAAGAGTGGTACATAAACTATTCTGACTATAAATGCCAGGTGATGCGTGCTACTTGTGATTCGTTTCTGAAGTGTGAGGGGTGACTCATCAGACTGTGGTGTGTGGCTTCAGGCCTGGCATGCTAATGCTCTGTCATGTTTGCAGACCATCCAGCTCTTTCCATCCCCACTGGTTCTGCCTTGCTCGAGGCTGCTGTCATCTGCACTATGCCTTCTGAATCCACCCTCACCCGGCAGCTGAATGAGCATTCTCAAGTGCAGATCTGATCATATCAGATCCCTGCTCCAAACCCTCTTCTAGCTGTTCTGGTCATGATACAGTCCAGGCTCTATATGCATCTGGCCCTTCCCTGTCCCACCAGCCTGCAGGCCATGTGCTGTGGAAGCCAAGATGACCAGATGGCCTGCGTTGAGTCCCAGCTGGCTCTGTCAGCTTCTTCATCTGAAAAATGGGGGTGAGGATAATAGAACCTACCTGATAGGCTTGTGGTGAGAGTTCATTGACTTACTCCACGTAGAGTGTTTAGAACAGGGGCTGGTACTAGTCAATCCTCAGTAAATGTTTCTTATTATCGCATCTTCATATACATGCACAATGTACACATGCATGCACATGTGCACACACTCCATGCTATGCTGCCTGGGCCTTAGTACACACTGCTTTTCTCCTGTCCTCTTCCCAGCTCCTGCTTCTTTCTCTCTCAGACATTGCTTCCTCCAAGGAGCCTTCCCTGAGTCCCTGTCAGGCCCTAGGCTGTCACATACTCATTTTTCTGAGCACTGATCCGTAACACTTTTGAGAGCAGGAGTCTTACTGTCTCATCTTCGAGTTTATACCACTGAACTTGGCCTGGTACATGGTTATTGCTCAGCAAGTGTTTATCAAATGAATGAATGAATACAATTATCTTCATGGTATTTTTTTTTTTTTTTGAGACAGGGTCTTGCTCTGTCACCCCAGCTAGAGTATAGTAGTGTCATCATAGCTCACTGCAACCTCAAACTCCTGGGCTCAAGCAGTCCTCCTGCCTCAGCCTCCCAAGTAGCTGGGACTACAAGTGCTAGCCAACATGCCCAGCTAATTTTTCTATTTTTAGTAGAGAAGAGGTCTCATTATGTTGCCCAGGCTGGTCTCCAACTCTTGGGCTCAAGTGATCCTCCTGCTTCAGCCTCCCAAAATGCTAGGATTATAGGCATGTGCCACCACACCCAGCCCCAAAGTAACTTTTTAATACTGCCATTCATCTTGATTCAATGACCTGGAGGTTTTCATTTTCCTCTTATTTTCATTAAGAAAAATTTCTCTGGTTCTTTCTCTTTTCTCTTTCTCAGTCCTGGGGCTGGGCAGTGTACACAGGACTAGAAAGAGGAGGGAGAAAAAGACCAAACAGAAAACCATTTCTTTCTTTTCTTTTTTCTTTTTTGAGACAGAGTCTTTGTTGCCCAGGCTAGAGTGAGTACCATGGCATTAGCCTAGCTCACAGCAACCCAAACTCCTGGACCCAAGCGATCCTCCTGCCTCAGCCTCCCGAGTAGCTGGGACTACAGGCATGCGCCACCATGCCCAGCTAATTTTATATATATTTTTTTAGCAGGCCAATTAATTTCTTTCTATTTTAGTAAAGGCGGGGTCTCCCTCTTGCTCAGGCTGGTTTCGAACTCCTGACCTTGAGCAATCCTCTTGCCTTGGCCTCCCAGAGTGCTAGGATTATAGGTGTGAGCCACCACACCTGGCCCAGAAAACCATTTCTTAATGAAATGGGCAGCCACATAGTTGGTGGGTGTGGGATACAGAGCATGAATTTCTGTCACTTTGATCCCCAGCTTCTATTTGTGTTGTTCTCAGTCTTCCCAGCCTTAATGGAGATGGAAGTGCCAGTCCCTGCCTGCCCTCTGCTGGACAACCTGTGCAATATGCTTTCAGCTGGGCAGCATGCAGGTTACCAAGGAGGAAGGCAAACCTCCCTTTTTGGCTCCCTTAGCATCTGGTACACTTGTGATATTGCCCTATTTTGTCTTGTTTGTGCCTCTTTTATCCTTCCATGGTGTCCTGCATAACTTATTTGCATATATAAACCAAAAGTCTGACAACCCACCAAAGCTTGATTCTGTGGTTAAATATTTTGAAGTTCAATATTTTTAGAAGTCAAATTTGTATTATAATTTACAATGAGTTTTTAGTAGCAGTAAATGAAATGCTTCTTCAGTGAGATCAAAAACAGTGAGGGCTTCTCAGTATTGCATAATAAATATTTAAGAAAAAATAATAGGTTAAAATCAGTTAATGTAGTCATCTCAGTTTTGAAACTAAACTAAGTAAATGTGGTTTTTATTTTATTTATTTATTTTTGAGACAAGAGTTTTGCTCTGTTGCCCTAGGTAGAGTGCAGTGGCATCATTATAGCTCACTGCAACCTCAAACTCCTGGGCTCAAGGGATCCTCCTGCCTCAGCCTCCCAAATATTAAGCTATTTTTAGTAGAGACGGGTTCTTACTCTTGTTCAGGTTGGTCTTGAACTCCTGAACTCAAGTGATCCTCCTGCCTTGGCCTCCCAGAGTGCTAGGATTATAGGCATGAGCCATGGTGCCTGACCTAAATGTGTGGTTTTTTATTGTTGTTGTTGTTGTTTTTTGAGATAGAGTCTCACTCTATTGCCCCAGGTAGAGTGCCATGGCGTCAGCCTAGCTCACAGCAACCTCAAACTCCTGGGCTCAAGTGATCTTTCTGCCTCAGCCTCCCGGTAGCTGAGACCACAGGCACATGCCACCATGCCTGGCTTATTTTTTTCTATATGGATTTTTGGTTGTCCAGTTAATTTCTTTCTATTTTTAGTAGAGACGGGATCGCGCTCTTGCTCAGGCTGGTTTTGAACTCCTGACCTTGAGCAATACTCCCGCCTCGGCCTCCCAGAGTGCTAGGATTACAGGCGTGAGCCACAGCGCCCGGCCTAAATGTGGTTTTTAAAAGTTATTTTCATTGGTGATAAATGTAGCTCCCCTTGTCCCCCCCAGCTTTTTTTTTTTTTTCTACACAATTTAGCCTTTTCTCAGTAGTAGGGACGAATCCTGATGGCTGGTTCTTCCTGCTGCTGGGTTGGTTTCTGCATGTGCGATTGTACACAACTCACATTTACTAGCCGCTGCCTTCCATAGGAGAAGAGACTTTTCTGCTCTGGCGAGCCAAATTACTGTCTGTTCTGTACCTCTGAGGGGGCCACAAGGACTAAATAATTGTAGCTAACATGGAGCATTTCAGTGTGCTGGGCAGTGTACTAAGTACTTCATATATGTAACCTCATTTAATCCTCACAATAATTTTGTGAGTTATAGATAGTTATTATCCTCATTTGACAGAGGAGGAAACTGAGACTTACAAAGGTAAAGAAGTTATCTGAAGTCACTCAGCTAATGAGTGGTAGAGGTAGGATTTGAATCCAGGCAAAAGGTCAGGCAGTTCGTCTTCAGAGCGTACCCTTACGCAGTGAATAGCTGGGTGGCCTCTTGTGTCCCCTTGGAAGGCCAAGGCCAGGAGACCATTCCTTCATGGGGTGAAGGGGGCTATTGGCAGGGAGGATGTTGGGGAGGCTCCTGGGGGAGGAGGACTCCTCTGCCCAAGCAATTCAGGCCCTGGGACCCTGGGGTCCAGGGTGGGAGCCAGGGCAGATCTAGGGCCAGGCAGCCCAGGCTTCACCTCAGCCCAGTCGCCCATCTGTGGGGTGTCCTATGTGCTGCTGTGCATCTAACACTATTCTGGGCACCCTGGGATCCCATCAACATTGCAGATGCAATGCACCCTATCGACAAAGATACTAGTTTGCATGAGAAGATAAGATATGACACTTGGGGGCAGATGATCTTGAATGTTTTTTATTAAATAAAATATATTGCTTTCCTGCTTCTCCCTGAGTATATGTTTTTCAGGAAATCCACAAGGGCATTCAGACTATTTTCAAGTCTGCATTGGTTCTCAAGGAGGGAATCACTTTCCTCCTATACTCGCTGACACCAGCCCCAATCTGGCTGCCTTCTCTCCTTGATTAAGCCGCATTGTCCTGTCCAGGATATATTCCTGTCTTGTGTATTTGTATGAATGTGCATGTTTCTGGGGTCCTTCACTTTCATTGTATTCTCAACCATAAAGGAGACCCCAGAAGAGTTCACAAGCAGCACTAGTGGTCAGAGTTTTCTTCACCCCTGCCCTGGGCCCTGTTGGCCCGTCTGAGCTGAGGAGAGATGCGCCCAGCTCAGACCCTCCGCCTGCTGAGGGGGCTGGGAGGAGGAACAGGATCTGCTGTGTCCAAGCCAAACCTGTTTCAAGCCACAATTATCCGGTCTCAATTCCAGCCTTGGTCAGGCATCATGTGTTCCTCCACATTCCTCCCAGTAGCCACAGGCTGCGTGGCTGATGAGGCCAGCAGCAAAACAAGATGTCTGGGACTCTGCCGAGGGTTGAAAGGACACCCACCATCTGTTCTTTGTACAGTATTGCCCTCCTGGGTTGAGCCTCCAAGGTGTACTGATACGGAATGTATACCATTGAAAAGGTGGGAGACTGTGTCACCCTGACCCAGGGGTGTGCTGGTAGGTGCTTACCACCGACTCTGAAAATAAAGCCCTGGTTTTCAGCCTTTGCCAATTTCCAAGGTGTAAATACTCCCAAGTTACCAACATGGCACCACTAAATACAGAGTTGAGAGGAGATGGGCAGCAGCACACCTTTACATGGTATTTCCACCAGGTAGACAACAGATATAAATTACCTCACAAGCAGAGTAAAATGTAGAGTGATTAGGAAGTGGTATGTTTGGAGTAGTTAGTACCTTTGTTTTTAAATATAATTTATTGTAAGTTTATATAATTTAATTTTTAATAATGACTGTATTTGACACCTAGCTCACAGAGTTCCTGAAAATTTAGCAGTTGTCCCTTGCAAGGCACTATGAGCTGGCTCCCCCACACCACTGCTGTCAGTCTGCACCTGTTTCCAAAAACATCGTGTGGGGGTCAAGATCGTGGGGGGGGCGCGGCTAAAAAGCCATGAGAAAGGGAGGACCCAGCAGTGATTCCCTAGCTAGGGCTCTGCACTGGGATCTGGTACCTAATGACCTATTTACCCAGTGGCCCACCAGCCTGATCGCCACAGCTGAGATGCATCCTGACCCATACAAGAGCACAGATATAAGCTTTTATCTGTTTGAGAATGCTTCCTGAGCTCACTTTCCATAGGTCATTTGAACATTGCTTCATCTGACACCACCTTCCCCCAACTTAAAGATGATCCTTATGATACACTCTCTCAGCCCCATAACCCTGGCCCCTTTCTTTCACAAGTGGTGATGACCATATTCATGCGAGTTTTTGCATTTGCTGCCATCTCTCCCTCTCCAGTGGAAGCTCTCATTCACCCCAGAATACCGAGTTCCTGGTGGGTGACTGGCATATAGCAGGCACTCAGTGAATATTTATTGAAGGGGAAGGGCCTGAGAGAGTGGACAGAGAGACTGGCAGGAAAACAAGGGGGAGGGAGAGGAAACCACCAAGAGAGTTCATTTAACTTGTTTGAGTTTCTTTCTCCAAGAGGAGTAAGCCATTGGGAATATACTGGGTCCCTTTTGATCCTTCCAGCTACCAGGGATGTAGCAATGAGGAGGTCTCAGCTGTTAGTGTCAGAGACCTGATTAAAAATCAGGCTTGGAGCCAGGCACACACCTGGGTGGCTCATATCTGTAATCCTAGCACTTTGGGAGGCTGAGGTGGGAGGATTGCTTGAGGCCAGGAGTTCAAGACCACCCTAAGCAAGAGTGAGACTTCCATCTCAACTAAAAATACAAAGATCAGCTGGATGTTGTAGCGTATACTTGTAGTCCCAGCTACTCGGGAGGCTGAGGCAAGAGGATGGCTGAAGCCCAGGAGTTTGAGGCTACAGAGAGCTATTGATGATGCCATTTTACTCTACCCAGGGAGACAGAGTGAGACTTTGTCTCAAAAAAATTTTTTTTAAATCAGCTTTGAACAATACAAGAAATCTGTTCTCTCATGTAATAAGAAGCCCCAAATGAAGGTGGCTGCAGGTTGGTGTAAGCCCTACCCTCAGGCCAGGGCCCCCACAGTTGCCAGTAGCTAGAGGCATCACCTGGATACAGTAATGTCCTGCAGAAAGAGCATCAGTCACCTCCTGTGTGGCTCTTTAGGAGGAAGACAATCTTTCCCAGAGGCCACAAGACCTGTCCTAATCCAGGAATTGAAATGACCAGAGATTCTCAGAGTGTGGTTCCCAGACCAGCACCATTAGCCTCACCTGGAAGCTCACTAGAAACTGCTGTATTGTGGGGCAGTGATCTTCAAAGGATAAACATCTGAACACCACTTGGGGCTCTCCTGAGAGGAAGTGGAGATGCTGATGGGGCACTGCTGGGGTTGAGTCATCCTCAGTGACTCAAGCTGCAGATGAGAGATTTGCATCCACTGCCTTTAACCAGGGCCAGGAAGTGGACAAAACTTAGAGTCCTGTGATGAGAAGAAGCAGAGGTGCCCAGGTAGCCTGGTGACTGGCTGTGCACTTGACCCTCCCCACCTCTGCTCTCCTTCCCACCAGCTACCAGAGATTCACTGACTGTTACAAGCGCTTCTACCAGTTGCAGCCTGAGATGACACAGCGAATCTATGACAAGTTTATAACTCAGTTGCAGGCATCTATTCGGGTGAGTGGCAAGAAGCCCAGCAGGTACTGTTGACTTCGGTTCTGTCTCTAGATTGTCAGTCCCCTGGCGTCTGTGACCCTACCATCTGCCCCTGTCTCCTCAGCCCCTAGAATTTCCTTGGTGTCCAGCAGGCTGCAGCATTTGTCATCCCTCCCCTCCAAGTGCTAGGGATATCTTAAACGCTCCCATATCTCATTGTCCTGTATTGTAATTATGTGTTTATATGTGTCTGCCCCACTGTGCGAGCTCAGTGAGGACAGGATGGGGTCTCACTCATCTTTGTACCTCCAGCTCCTGGTGAGATACCTGGCACAGAGAAGGCATTTAACAAATTGTTTGAATTCAGAGGAACTGAATACTACTGGGAATACAAAGAAGGATATGATCCCATTCTTGTCTTTAAGTAACTGTGGTATCTGTATAGAGTTAAACTTCCATGCTGCTGCACTCCAGGCTGGTCCTGTTAAGCATCAAAATGTGTGGTTTCAGCAAAGAGGGCTTGGGGAGTGGGGATAGCAGCATTCAGAGATGGCACGGGAGGGGAGAGGCTTGCTGCAGGCTCTTTAAATGTTTCCCATTTTATATTTTATCTTCTTAATTATAAAAGCCACATGTTGTAGAAAGGTTGGAATGTTTGGGATGGTACAAAGACACAGAACAGAAATTAAGAAAAATCTTACTAAGTGCTGTTAGCAATTTAATGTATTTCCACTATGGGTTTGTCTAGTATCATTACAGCTCTTTCCTCCTTTCGTTTCAGGAGGAAGTCTCTGAAATCAAAGAGGAAGGGAATCTGGAAGCTGTCTTGAATGCCTTGGATAAAATTGTGGAAGAAGGCAAAGCCCGTAAGGAACCAGCCTGGTGAGCATGGGGTGGGGAGGTGAGAAGAGTGATGGAAGGTGCCTGGGGAAGAGGCAGCAATTCAGCTTCTTGAAGGAGACTTGAAGACTGACCCATATCCATGAGACTCTAGGCTCATGGCCCTTGAGAGAGGACCCTTTGACAGGGACAAGTAGAAAGGACAGACATCAAACAGTAATCAAGAACAGTTGAAACCCACAGGGTTCCCTCTGGGGGAGGGGAGCCCCAGGGCAACGCATGTTGTCCAGGGGTTCAGGGAAGGGAGGGGTTTGAGACAAGACCAAGGAAGCCCTCCTGGGGGAGCTCGTTTGAGGACCTGTTGGACCTGTGAGAGAAAGGCGGGCTAGGGGTGTGGGAAGGGACAGAATATTGAGGTTTGGAATCAAGTGTAGAGTAGGCTGGCTGAGGAACTGGTTTTTATTCATTCCTTTATTCAACAGATATTTAGGGCTGGGCGAGGTGGCTCACGCCTGTAATCCTACCACTCTGTGAGGCCGAGGTGGGCAGATCGCTCAAGGTCAGGAGTTCGAAACCAGCCCAAGCAAAAGCAAGACCCCGTCTCTACTCAAAATAGAAAGAAATTAATTGACCAACTAAAAATATATAGAAAAAATTAGCAGGGCATGGTGGCACATGCCTGTAGTCCCAGCTACTCGGGAGGCTGAGGCAGGAGGGTCCCTTGAGCCCAGGAGATTGAGGTTGCTGTGAGCTAGGCTGATGCCACAGCACTGTAGCCCAGGCAACAGAGTGAGACTCTGTCTCAAAAAAGCAAATAAACAAATAAAAAAACCAGATATTTAGGGAGCACCTACTATATGCTTGATACTGTTTTAGATGCCAGGGACTTAGCATTGAACAAGACAGATAAAACACCTGCTCTCCTGGAGCTGACATTTCAGTGGGCAGCCTGACTGCCCAGTACAGGTCAAGTGCAAGATGGAGAAGTGGGGCCTGGCGAGAGTAGAGAGCAGAGGCCATCAAGACCACAGCAGCCTGAGCACCTGCCTCCTACAACCCTCCTTCCCTCCATCAGTGGCACCCTAGGCCAGATGGAGCAGATATATTTTTTGTACCTCCAATTTTGTTATGCCCTGTGACCTTAGTACTTAAGAGAATTAAGTTTTATAGCTGAAAAAGAATTTTTGAAAGAACCTACAGTGGTTTCCTAACACCTCGCCCCCCAATAGTCTTGCCTCCTTAGACTTGTCTTTCCTTATCTTCCCACATCAGTCAACACTTACCAGGGCCTCCCAGCCACCCCCAATCTCTCCAGCTCACAGTCTGATGGAGTGGATGCACAAGCAGGGCACATGGTCACAAGGACAGAGGCAGGGGCTGAAAAGTCACCTCTTGCCCTGGAGTGTTCTAGATGAGAGACTACATGTGGAAGAGAAAAGGAGAATGTGGGGTGTGGTTGGGAAGGCTAAAATAGAAACTGAAGTGAGAAGGGGGAGAGGTGTACCCCTAGGCATTGAAGCTGAGGGATGGGAGGTGAGCATTCCCATCAAGAGCAGGCCTTGGGAGGTGAGATGGACTGCAGGAGAGGCCTTGGAAGCCAGTCCAACTTCCAGGTGGGAATGTCACTGGAGGTGGGAATGTCACTGACTGGGCTTGGAAGTAGAACACTTCCCACCCAAATCCTCCCCCCCACCATCCCTTGTGTTCCATATGGCTGTCTAGGCGACCCAGTGGGATCCCAGAGAGAGACCTGCACAGCGCCATGGCACCCTACTTTTTGCAGCAACGGGATACCCTACAGCGCCGTGTGCAGAAACAGGAGGCTGAGAACCGGCAGCTGGCAGATACCGTCCTGGCTGGGCGCAGGCAGGTGGAGGAGCTGCAGCTACAGGTCCAGGCGCGGCAGCAGGCCTGGCAGGTAAATATGTCCCAGCCTTATCTGCTTTCTCTTCCTTCCCTAATCGGCCCTCTGAGATCCACAAATTGGTGGCTTCCTCCCTTCCAACATAAGGGATCCCCGTAGGGAGTAGGAGAGTCTGCTGCTGTGGGATAGTCTCATTACTTGTCCTTGGACACGTGCAGTAGTCTCTTTGCAGACAGGCTCCCCAAATGCTCTCCCCTCTTTGGGGCACACCTGCTCTTGGCCGAAGTCTAGCTGCAGGCGTGCATTCCCCTGCTGCAGCAGGTGAGGACACAGGCCCAGAGAGGGCAGGTGACTTACCCAGGATAACAGCTCCTCCATATCAGAGTTGGAGTTAAACCCTCTGTATCCAGTGGTCATTCTACTACTTCATGTGACCATTGCCAAATATATTTAAATGTATACATTAGAATGACTTCTAGAGCCTTCACCACATGTACAACATATCTTCCATGCATAAATGTGTGTCCTTTGAGGGTGAACTTAATTTTTTTTTTTTTTGAGACAGAGTCTCACTCTGTTGCCTGAGCTAGAGTGCTGTGGCGTCAGCCTAGCTCACAGCAACCTCAAATTCCTGGGCTCAAGCGACCCTCCTGCCTCAGCCTCCCAAGTAGCTGGGACTACAGGCATGCGCCACCATGCCCGGCTAATTTTTTCTATATATTTTTAGTTGGCAAATTAATTTCTTTCTATTTATAGTAGAGACAGGGTCTCACTCTTGCTTGGGCTGGTTTCGAACTCCTGACCTTGAGCGATCCGCCGCCTCAGCCTCCCAGAGAGCTAGGATTACAGGCGTGAGCCACCGCGCCCGGCCTGTGAACTTAATTTTTGAAAGTGGCCCAAAGTCACTTGGGGCCAAGGTGGGTGAAGAAGTGATCAAGCTGGACGACATGAGTAGCAGATGTGGGTGCAGAGTGATGAGAAGGATTTTCTTATTGGCTCCAAGAGAACGTTTCCAGTAGGCCTTGAGTGGTAGCATCCCTGTTCGATTCTCTATCCAGCATTTAGATGTCCATCTTATACCTACTTATAGCTATTTGATAGCCCCTTTCCTGAGGCAGACCTTCCTATTCCTGAGGGGGACAGGGCCCTAAATCTGTGGTTCCCAGATCCCCCTGGTTTTCTCTTCCCAAGACCAGTAAGCTGTAGCCCAAAGGCCCTGCCTGGCTCAGCAAGTGTCCCAAGCCTTGGGAAGGTGGCAGCAGGTGGAAGGTTGGCAGCCTGCTCTGCTCTCTCTTGTCCCCACCTCCTCCAGTCTTCCCATGTCCCAGACTAGTCCTGGGGGACTGGACAACAGGCAAGAGGGTGGGAGTGACCAAGGCCCTCAGTCTGGGGCTGTCTTGGGCAGGCTCCATAGCTGAGTTGGGCACTCCTGGGACTGTCAGGCAAGGTGCTGTTCTGCTCCACCACTGCCACTTCATCACCATGCCCTGATCACTCCTGTTGCTGGCTTCCAAATGGATCAAATAATGATTGCCAGGGCCCCACCACTTCTGACATTCAGTGCTTCTATTTTAAGAGGGGGAATAAAGCCCCCTGGTCTTACAGCCACACCTCATCCATTCCAGCTACAGATCCTCACACTGTTTGAAGTGGGACTGAGTGTTCAGTGCTGAGTCTTGTGTGGCAGCTTCAAAGAACAATTTTTTACCACAATTTCCATGTCAGTAGCCTAACTGAAAGTTCACTTAATTCAAGAAAGTTTCTCGGCTGGAAAGCTTTAGTGAGGTCAGAGGATTGGAAGGCCACTTTGGAGGCCCTTATTAAAGATGGGCTCAGGTTAGGGGAGGTCTGGCCCAGGCGGTCACAGCCCAGCTTGCCATAAATATCTGCTGAGTGGTGGGGACTTGTTAATGTGCCTTTGTCCTAACAAGCCCAGCTGGGCCAGTGATACGAGCCACAGACTCCATCCATATTGTCCTAGAGGAAACCCAGGCCTGGAGTCAAGGACAGCGGAGGGAAAGGATTTGGGTTTTCTCACATCCTGATTTGTCTGTTCTCTCCTATTGATTTCAGGCTCTACACAGAGAACAGAGGGAGCTGGTGGCTGTGCTGAGAGAGCCTGAGTGAGGAGATGGCTGGGCCCAAAAGCAGAGGGCAGTCAAGGTCGAGGGCCTGTGGTCTAGCATGCTGGGCCTGGGCCTGTCCTCTGAGAACAGCTGAAATGGTGCCTAGTCCTTAAGCGGTGAAGGAATTTGCCAGAGGACCAGGCTGGAGCAAGCCCCATGCCACTATGCCTTTGGGGCTCCCTTGGGGTTGGTTTCAAACATACCCCTACCTTCAGATTCCTCCCTGTTTTCTTCTAACTCCCACCTGGGAATCAAGCAGTAGCTTCTTTCCTCCTGGTTCAGGTCAACTCTGCCAACCCCCTCCTGCTGGTTCCTGAGCCCTCCCTAGGACTTAGCTTAGGGAATCTGTTTTCAATCTTCACTGATTGTCCCCTTGCTGGCCAGCCCAAGGGCTCTTACCACGTTCTCCCCACATCCGTAAATAAACTTCCTCCACTACACTGTAATCTGTGAGGATGCTTCCTCTGCCTGGGCCGTTCTGGGGCCAAGATCTGCTGCGGGGCTTCCAAGTTCTGGCGCCAGTCAAGGCCTTGGTTGTAGTCCTCTGAGAGCCCCCAGGTTGCCAGTGGGTGTATTTGACCATCATGTGCAGAGGGCAGCAAAACTCTTTGTACAGAAACCAGAACCCCTGGGTTCCCTGTGGCCAGGAGGAGCACCAAAGGGGTATCCGTCTGTCCAGCCCAACCCACACTTCTGTTTGCCGCTTGGGCCACTTCTGAGAAAGTTCATGGTGGGCCTCACTTGGTGTTTGTGCGCAGAGCAAGGTGGGCCCTCCACAATAGCTGGCCACCTTGTCCTCTTGCATCAGCTGCCTCACAGCTCTCCAGCCGAGGCCAGCCAAAGGCAGGTTGGTGCTTCCTGGACCAGAAGGGGTAGGGGGTTGGCTACAGATAGCAAACTTTTTTCCATGCTGAGGGCCTTACCTAACCCCTTGGAGAGAGGTTTGGTTGGGTGTGTCTGTGGCACACGGAGGACAGACAGGAAGACGTCAGGTAGTCCCTGCTTGCCACCCCCCTCACCATAAACTGAACTCAGGCTCTGTCCTTCTGCCCGCCTCTTCACTATGGAGCTGCAAATCAAGCATCAGACGCTCCACTCCTGTCCAGCATGCTCCATTGAGTGCTTTATTTGTCAGGTTGGACAGACAGTCTTGAGCCCTGGTGGGTGGGTAGGTGAGTGAGGACACAGGTCAGACAGAGGGGAAGGTGCCAGGACACCCTCTCTTCCCTCTCCAGGCAGACCTGAGGCAGTGGCGGCTCTTAGTTGTGGGATGGGTTTTTTGGGGGGCTGGGATGTTCTGTCCCATAAGGGATAGGCCTTCCTATCACTTATGGGAGGACAGGTCCCTCCCCAAGGTGGTTACCACTGGGAAGGCTACAAGGACAGGAGGAGAACCTGAGGGTCAGGAGCCTAGAGGTGCACTCCCTCTCCCTGCTCCTCACAGGCCTTGTCTGCCCACCTGCTAGGGCACAGGGAGGTAGTTCCCACCCTAGTGTCCCACCTCTTTGTCCTGTGCCCTGCATACCTGGCAGTTGCAGCCACCAGGCCTGCTCCAGAGATCGAGAGGCCTTCCTTATCTCATGCCTGCCCCCACCTATATTGGCTTTTGGCTCTTGGCTCCGTCCTGCCGTGACCCTTTCTCCGTCTTGATGCACAGGGCCTGAGCAGTCGAGCTGCCCCCGCACTGGGTGCCTTTGGTGTCTCGCTGGGTGAATGAGGGCATTGCCGGGCACTCCCTCCCTGGGGTTTGGCTCCTGCCCATGGGGCTGCAGTAGAAATCACAGGCTGTGAGAGAGCTGGAGCCCAGTTCTGCTCAAATCTATTTTGGACTCTGAGCCCCCCTTCCCTTTAGGCCCCCCTAGAGCCCAGCCAGTGCTTAACTAGGCTGGGGGTCTCCGAGGAAGAGTGAATAGGGGTAGAGGCCCTGGGGAAGGGGCAAGGGGCACTGTTGAGAGCCTGGAAGTCTGATAGTGGCCCATCCTCCATCACTCCTGGGGCCCCTGCCCAGGCAGCCACAGCTCCCGACCACAACATCCTTTGGGGTTTGGCCTATAGAGCTGGGGCGGATGACCCCCAAATAGCCCTGGCAGATTCCTGTGACGCGCCCACAACATGGTCAGGTGCCCCTCACCCCCACCTCCAGGGCACAGCCCGGAGCATATAAACAGTGCTGCAGGCTGAAGGGGCAGACAAGCTGAGCCCTGGACAGCAGCCCTAACGCAGCCACTGACAGACGCACCATGAGGGCCCTCACACTCCTCGCTCTGCTGGCCCTGGCCACACTTTGCCTCGCTGGACTGGCAGGTGAGTGCCGCCACTTCTGCCCAGGATGCACTTCACTGGGGGCTGTGAGGGGACAGTTTCATGGCCCTACCCCTCTCCTTCCACTGGCAGTCCCTTCTGCAGTCTAACCACTCTCCTAGAGGCTCAATCTGTTTGCCCCCAGCTCTGTCCTTGTAGAAGGAGAGGCAGGGGAAGGAGGATGAGGGCCCTAGGGATGAGCAGAGGTGAGCCAGGCTCCCTTTCCTTTGCAGATGCGAAGCCCAGCAGTGCAGAGTCTGACAAAGGTGCAGGTATGAGGATGGGCCTGGTAGGGGGCTCCCAGCACCACCCCTGTCACCCTGGTCCCCTCAGTCCCAATTCCCTGCTCCTGGCACCTCTTATCTGGCTGTCAGGAAGGCAGGCCTGCTCCCCACCTGACCCCTGCACCTCTGCTCCACAGCCTTCATGTCCAAGCAGCAGGGCAGTGAGGTGATAAAAAGACCCAAGCGCTACCTGTATCACTGGCTGGGGTAAGAGAAAGGGAGCTGCTGGGTCGGGGCCCTGCATTTGCAGGATGGGCTGGGGAGGAGTTGCAGCAGGGAGCAGCCTCTATGGGCTGCTGGCAGTCCTCTCTGGTGGGGACTCTGGACCCCATATGTGCAGTGGGAGGAGGGGGTGGGCATTCGGCACAGGGGCTGATGCCATTTTGTTGGGTATCCCAGAGCACCAGCCCCAGCCCCAGCCCCCTACCCATACCCGGATCCCCTGGAGCCCAAGAGGGAGGTGTGCGAGCTCAACCCGGACTGTGACGAGCTGGCTGACCACATCGGCTTCCAGGAGGCCTATCGGCGCTTCTACGGCACAGCCTAGGGCATCCGTCCTGCTGGCGCAGCTGGCAGCCCCAGCTCTGGATCCTTGCCTCGTCCCTTCCCTTCCCTTCCCCTCACCCTGACCTCCTTGCCCTGTGAGTGTGGGGTCCCCATCATCCCAGCTGCTCCAGAATAAACTCCAGAAGAGGAATTGGTGGGCCTATGCGTCTGTCCAGTCTATGGAGTGTGGGAGGGAGGTGTTAGAAGGATGGAGGCAGAGAGGTTTTACCTTCTGCAGTCCCAGAAAGTGCTTCCCAAAGTCTGTTATTTCTTTATTTATTTGTACCTGCCTTGTTCCAGAAAGAATTGAGGATGGCTTCCTAAAGTCTAACTATGGCTCCCCCCAGCCAGCCTAGCACTCCCCTCCCCCACCTCAATCCACTCTACCATCAGTGACACACCCAGATAGACCCAGTCCCCAAAAGCCTGGACACCTCAAGTACACAGTCATGACCAAGACAGACTCATCTCTAGAGACAAATAGCTGCTGGCAAACTGGGCACTACCTGGTTTGGGATGGGGGCCAAGTGTGTAGCCTCCTAGCCTGGTTAACAAGCATTCAGCAGAGGCCTGGGTTAGTCATGTTAGTTCTCCCCTGGACTGAGCAGAGACTTCCAGGAGCACCAGAAACGGGGCCAGATAAAAGGACCCCCGCATCTTCCCACCCCAAACTCTGACAGGGCATGGGTACAGCTCCAGCCTGGACATACACACCTCCCTGCTCAGACCCTCAGCACTTCTCCCACTCCATCAAGAGCCCCTCACGGTCCCTCTCACTCTCTGCTAGTCCCCAGCCCCCCGAACACCCCTCTTCTTGGCTGCCCTCTCTCATCTTCTCTCTCTCCTCAGCCACACTTGGTTCCAGGCTGAGATGGTCTCTACCTTACCAGGCCCCGGTCTGGCTCCTCCCCAGCACTGGAGCCCACCCTCTGCCTTCCTCCAGGGCAGGGTTAGGAATGGGGTCTCACTGCTGTTTGGCTTGGGTACCCCCCTCTAGTTGGCCATCCTGCAGCAAAGGGCATGTACCGGGGGCCTGAAGCAGGGAGAATGTGAAAGCAGCAATGATGAGTAGGTTTCCAGCCACTGCCAAGCTCAGTGTGGCCACTGTGCCCACCAGGTCCAGGGCGGGTTCCTGTGTGGCCAGCCAGGCTCGGCGAGATCCCATATCAGCCAGCACCGCTTCCAGCTGGAAGTGGGTGCCCAGCACTGCACAGATGTGGAATAGCTGGTGACTGTGGCCTGTGGGAAGGATGGGCAGGTTAGGGCACATGCCTGTTCCCAGGGCTCCCCTGACTCATCATGTGACCCAGGGCAAGTCACCCCATCCTCTGGGCCTGCTATTCCTCTATAAATTAAGAGCAAGAAACCCTGATTCCACAGTTACTGGGAGGAATGAATGAGCTGATATGCATAAAGCTAGTGTATGTGCTACTAGTTTGGTCGTTCATCCGAGGTGGGTGGGTGGAGGATGGGCCTGGACGCTGAGGACCCTTCCAGCCACGCTCTCTAGTTATGGGAAGACAGGGAAGTGCTTCCTATAGTTTGCTGCTGTCCTCAGGCTATGATACCCCTTTACTCAGTTCACTCTGCTCTGGGAAGCTGTCTCTCCCGCCCTTTCCTGGGCCAGGTCATGCGTGCTCTCACCAATGTAGTCAAAGCGTCCTGGGGCCAGGCGCTCGGGCAGGTGGGAGGCGAAGAGGAAGCCAGTGAGCAGCGCGCAGAAGAGATGGTAGCCATGGCTGGTGCTCAGCATCTCCTGGCCACAGCTGTGGCCCCTGCCCCAGCACAGCCCGAGCTGGCAAAGGGAAAGCAGGGCTGGTGGGGAGGGGCTCAGGAGTGGAAACATGGGATGTGTCTGGGATCTGGTGAGGATGCAGAGGGGGTGGGCACAGGCTGGGTGCTGGGCCTGAGGAGAAGGCAGCGGGGCTCAGGTCAGGGACTGAGGGGGCAGGGCTGGAAGTGGGCACAGAGAGGGTTAGGGCAGGGGCCCCAGGAACCCTTACCCGATAGAACAGTGGGAGGTTGTCGAACAGGAATGGATAGGCGAAGGCTGCTGTGCGGAGGACCTTACTGAGCCCAGGGCTTTCTAGCTCGTGGAACCTGGGAAGTAGAAGGGAAAGGCTGGTCACCATCCCTGTGCCCTGGATAGGGGTCAGAGAAAAGCAAGAGCAAGGCCAAGATGGACTGTCAATGCAGCTGAACCCAAGAAAGCCCTTAGGCACATGCCCCCGTCTGTAAGTGAGCACATCTGTGTGTGGGGATAGAGACACCTGCCTGTTGGTGGCTGTGAGAATTAAAGGAGACCAGCTGGGCATGATGCTAGCATACAGGGTCTGACGGAGTAAGTCTTCAGTAAATGGTTCAGTTGTTACTAACATTATTCAAGAGCAGTGAGGTGTGTCCTCTCTTGTGCCTCCACCTTCCCGGTCCCCACTGAAGGTGCCTGAGAACCCACCGGGAGTAGCAGGAGAGGCCGGTGCACAGGAAAGAATTGAGTGCGGCGGCAGGCACAAAGAGCTGGTGCAAGCGGCCGTGCAACCAGGAGGCCGGCATGGAGTAGGCGGCATAGGGGAAGGCGCAGCCTGTGGGAAGGTTGGGGCGTGGCGCTGAGGTCCAGAGGCGCGCCCCTCCCTCGGGCGTCCTCCCCACCGTCCCCTCCATCATCACCCAGATGCAGAGCGCCTGGCCTGCCGCCCTTCGGCTCACCCAGGCTGTATAGGCTGAGCGCACCGTAGTCCAGGAAGTAGCAGATGTGACGCGCGCGGGGCGACATGGAGCTGAAGGTGTGCGCGCAGCACGATGCGAAGGGGTAGAGGCAGGCGGGCAGCAGGAAGATGAGCAGCGGCCAGTGGTACGGCTCCGCGCGGAAGCCCGGGCCCCCCGCCAGCACTAGGAGGCGCCACAGGAAGTACCTACAGCGGGCATGTGCTCAGGCCTCCGCGGACCTCCGCGATTGCCACTGCAGCCAGTGGGCCTGGACGGTCCTTGCCCACCTGGGTACCCCCTCTGAGCTCAAGGTGTGGCCTGGGGCAGAGCCTCCCCTCACCAGGTGGGCAGGAAGTGAGTCCAGATGTTGACAGTCTCGTTGGTCATCTGGAAAGAGCTGAGGACACAGTCCAAGGCCGAGCTGGTGGGGCGGCGGTAGCCAGACATGATGCCATCTTCCCAGAACACCTGGGGTAATTGCGAGAGTGGGAGAGAGTAGGCAAGTCATTGTGCCAGGACACTTTCCTTCCATGAGAGATCTCTGGAAGCAGGGTTGAGGAGGAGCTGGATATCACAATGGCCCCAAAGCCAAACTAAATGTGACCCCCATCTTACCACAGGTTCCAGTACCCACAGAGCAGCGAAGAAACGGAAGAGCCAGAGTTAGGGGACAAGATAGGATTGGGCAGGGGAGCACAGACAGGGCACTCAGGGGAAGGAAAGTCTGGATGGAAGGACCTTCTGGGCTGTAGGAGGGGGTCACACCCTTGTTCCTTAGAGAACAGAGAAAGAGTCTCACTGGAATGTGAGGGGTAGAACCTCCGGGAGGCACCTCCCCAATAGCTATCCGAGAACCTCTGCCCCTGTCCTCTGAGAGTCAGGGTTAGTGGATGGAGCCCCTCACCCTGGGGACCTGGTGGACTCGAAGGAGTTGAGGCAGCTTGAGACTGAGCATGGTGACCTGGCACCTCCACGTTGACCTAGAAACAGAGGTGGGTGGGGGGATCAGGTATCTGTCCCCAGCCACAGGCCCCTTGTCACCCCAGTTCAAGCTGGACCTGGTCACTGAGCCCCAGGGTGGGCTGCATGTGCACCAGCACACACACACGTGTGGGAGGTAGCTGGCCACAGAGTGGCTTCCTTCCAGCCAAGGGAGGGTGGCCCAGCTTCCCCAGTCACATCACATAACCCCAACCCCTCCCCATCTTAGCCTAGGGCAATCATCACCTGCTATTGACAGGGGCTTGCCAGCCTCAGCCCAGCAGGGAGTGGATGGTCCTACCCGGTTAGGAGGCTGCCTCGGTTAGTAATCCCAGTTCCCCAGCCCCAGAATTTTTGTCTCAGGGAGAACTCTGACTCCTGGTGGCCAGCAGAGAGCCTAAGCACCCCCACCCCACCAGAAAGCGCTTGGGCCCAAAGTGCCCGAGGTGAGCACAGAAAACTCCAGGCTCTCCAGAATTCCTGGAGAAACAGGATGCCACCAGGTGGCACAAGGAATTAGGGGGGTGCCTGGCTCTTCTCTGAGGACTATACTTGTGTCCCCTGGTAGTATTTAGGGTCCCTTGCCCCTCCTGAGCCCCGTGCCCCTCAGCCCTCAGACCTGCGTGCTGCCTCCGAAGCCGGCTCTGCTGCCCCACCCGCCTGTCCAGCGCCTCTCCCGGCACATTCCTTGGCACAAGTGGAGGGGCTGGGCCAGCTAGGTAGGCGGAGCCACCCCAAAAGGAAGGAAATGGGACACTCCCCCACCTCCCAGGCCCAAACTTCCCAGCGACTCTACAGCCTAGCCCCACCCCTTTCCCTGCCACCAGCTTCAACTGTCCATCTGTGTGCCTGTTTTTGCTGCACACACTGCACCTCTGCTCCTCTGTCATTCAACAGTTTGGGGGCTTGGTCCCTAGTTCCTGCATCCCAGCAGAACTTAAAAGATGGATGAGGGCCTCCCAGGGTATCTCTTGCCCTCTCCCAGGAATGGGATGGAGGTCTCGCCTACCCCAAGAGTGCTGCCCATCTATCTGGCGGGGTGGTGAGAGGAAGATGCTGGGGTGTGTCTCCTTTCAGGATCGCTCACCTTAGTGGTAGGATTTGGAGAGCTCTGAGTAGAGTGGGGTGTGTGCAGCTGCAGTGAAAATGGGGGCTGGAGCAGGTGCTGTATCTCTGTTTCCCCAGGAGTGTCAGAGCCCCAGAAGGTGAGCTTTCTTACCCAGAGCTTGACAGGTGCTCCTAAGCTGGTGGGTCAGCAGGCTGGGGCTCCACGGGCAGAGGCCCAGGCTCCTGCCAGCTGGGCTGATGGAGGGAGAGGAGAGTGGCCAGGCAGGCGGGCCAGGCCTGGGCGGGGAGTGGGGAGACAAAGGGAGCCAGGGAACAATCCCAGCCTTGTCCAGCCCCCAGGGAGCTGCACGGGGTGGCCCAGCCCCATTAGCAGGCAGCTCACTCGGCCTCCTGCACACAACCAGCCTCTCCAGCGTGACCCAATGTCCCTGTGCTGACTGGCTAGAACAGGCTAGAGGCTCAAGCTAGGATGTGGCCATAGTATTGTGGAGTCCAATTCTGCCTCAGAGCAGTGCACCCCAGTTGCAGGTTCTTTCAGCTGTCAAGGACAGCTCTACGTTAGGCTGGGCAGAAGAATCTAAATCCCCAGATTTTGACTGGATTTCAGAAACCTCTTACCATGCTTTGCTGCCTCCTAGCACTTAGTGCTGGGTAGGGTTCAGAACAAATTGCCTTCAATAAATATTGGTTCAACCATGAGGGATCTGCCAAGCTTATTACCCCCAAAGACATAATTTGAGGACATGCAATTGAGGGCTCAGAGGCTGGTTAAGGCTCACCTCCCCACCTCCTTGAGGAAGAGGATCCAGCTGGAGACAGCAACCCACCCCAGGCAGCACTGTTGCTGGCAAAATATTGTCACCTATCAGATTTGCAGAGGTACCACGTCAGTTCACAGGGTCAATGAACTTGACAATGTCTATCACAAAACCACCTCCAAGGCTTTCACTCCAATTGCCTGCTTCTTGTTCTGTTCCATCCACTTCAAAGAAGCCTTTCCAAAACGCATTGCGGTATAGTATCTTCAACATCCCCTCTTCTCCCAACAAAACTTCTGTACAGACAGGCACCCGGAGACAGGAAGTGGGCTTGGGGAGGGTCTTTATTAAAGTGATGCTTTAGTCTCAGTCTCTGCCAGGAACTGGGGGAACTGGCACTCCCCCCCCAGGTTTTCTCAGACTTGCTGTCTTAGAGGATGGAAGCGGGGAGCCAGCTCTCCTCTAAGCACAGCTTGGGAAGAGGCTAGCGTTGGGGTGGGGGGCAGCAGAGCTGAGACCTTCCACCCCCCGCCCCCAGCCTATGCTACACTTCCAGCCTGAAGGAGAGGGGCTGAGGCAATCCTCCCACACAGCCCTGCTCTTGGCGCGCCATTCACTGCCCTGAGCTATTCATGATCTCTGCTCCCACATATTCACCTCGACACTCCAAAAACCAGCCCCACATGCAGCCCCTCTGGGTCTTATAGTCCTAGGGAGGGTAGGAGGGAAGTCCATCAGGACAGAGGGCCCCTGCCTGAGCAGCTTCAAGGGACCTCTCCTTTTTGTTGCCACTGAATGTCATCCTCTTGTGTTCAGCCCTCCCTAGATAGTAAGGGGGGGGTGGCCCCAGACTGCACCCCCCTTTCTTCTCTTACTGGCATCCCACTGCCCCAGCATAGCAGCCAAGAGCACAAAGCACAGCGCCTGTAGGGCTGGTGGGCACAGGAACCCACACTGGCGTACAGGCCGGACTGCCTGCAGCCCTAGGTGGGGCCTGCTGCCTGCCCTGGAAGCCAGACAGAGGGAGATGGCACACACAAGTGGGGCGACCGGGTGTGCAGCCCCTGTGGCAGGAGAAGGGGTATACAAACCCTGACCCTGCTAATCAGTGCAGGCCACTCCAGGCCTCGCTCCTGTAAGAGCCCCGATGGCTGGCTCCAGAGCTGCCCAGCCCCGCAAAGGGCAATGAGAGGAGGAGGGTGGTCCTTGAGTGGGGGAAAGATCTGCAGAGAACCAGCCAGACACCTGGTATTACCCAACTCTTCCCCCAGGGCCTGGAGGGTGCAAACGCCTGGCCCCAACCACCCTGCATCTTGGGTGAGGAAGAAGGGCCCTTCCGCTGTTCTTTCTGCTCAAAGGTCCAGGAACCACTCCAATGAAATGCAGACACCCATGCCTGCCACCTGTCCCTGGGGACAGCAGGGGAGTTGAGGCAGGAAGGCTGGCTAGGGCCCACAGGACTTTCCTGCTCCAAGCACTTTCCTCGCTTTCCTAACGTCGTCTTGGCAACAGGGGACCCCACCCTCCCAGCTGGCTCCTGGGCCCTCCCTGCAGCCTCTGCGCAGCTAGGCTTCCTTCCTGTGTGCGTGCGTGAGTCTGCGTGTGGTGGGGTGACTACAGGTGGTGGTCCTGGCTGCCAGGGAGGGCAGGAGAGATCTGGAGTCAGCCCCACTGCAGGGCATGGGGGGCAGTCTCAACCAATCTCCTTCCACTGCTTGTAGAAGTCCAGAACATTCTTGATGTCCACACTGGCATGGGCAGCGGCCTGCAGGGCTGCCTGTGAAATGGGGGGAAGGAAAGATGGGGAAGGCCTGACAGCCTGAACTGAGGGACGAGTCACTGAAGGGATGGGGAAGGAGTCATGGAAGGGGAAAAGGCAGCTGTATGGAGGGTCTGAGGATGGTGTCAACTCTGGTCCCTTTTCCCTATTCCACACCATCACCCCGCCTCACCCGTGACCCACCTGCATGGGGCCTGAAAGCACGCTGGGGTTGTCCAGTGGAAGGCCTGTGATGATGGTCACCATGCCGCTTGGATCCTCCTCACCTGCCCCCTGGGCCAGAGTTAGCTGTTTGCAGCTGTCTAGGATCTTATAGAGAGTCCTGGTGGGGCGAGTGTGGGTGGTGAGATGGGCCAAGACCCAGCGTTAGCACCAATTAAACACCAAGATCTCCAGGGGACAGGGAAAGCTGGGGGCTGGGAGGGCTCTCTCTGGAGAGCAAGAGAAGCCAGCCAGCCAGCAGCAGCGGGCCCTTGCAGCTGCTCTGGAGGATGTGCCGTGGGCAGCAGGGAAAGGCGCGCTGAGCAAGAGCACCAACCCCACATCTCAGGGCCAAAAGGGGCTGAACCCACATGTAGAAGGAAGAGCGCAGGTGTGGAGCAACTTTACACTCACTCCAAGTTGAGGCCTGCAGGAGGGCCCCGGCCAGCTAAGCGTGAAGCTTCAGGACTCTCTGGCCCTGTGCCACTGTCCTTGGGAGTGCCCACGGAGGAGCAAGGCAGGTGGCCTGACTGAGGTGCTAGGGGGGAGGGGTGAAGTTTTACCAGGCATCTGCATCCTGCCTCTTCAGCTTATGCCGCTCAAAGCTCTTTCCCACCTCTTTCTGGCAGCGAATGTACCTGCAAAGGAGGCATGAGAGTAGAGGTAGGGACAGAGGATAAGGAGGACATCTTACACAAAGCAAGCCATTGTGGCTCTGGGAGCCCAGTTTTGCAGAAGGGGGTGGGGAACATGTCTCTCCCATCAGGTCTCTGTTTGGAGCCATTTCAAAGTGGCTTCCTGGCCATCGGGCCCAGCTCGCTTTTCCTCCTGATAACATCGATGCTTTGGTTCCTCCCAGGGGAGGAGCTGGGAGGGGAGAAACAGCAGATGCTTTTCAAGTCAGGACTTCTGGAGGCACAGTTCAAACAAGTAGGCTTTGTGCAGCTTGCTGGCCAGTCAGGGCAGATGCAGGAGAGGGAGGGCCAGCCAGCAGGGAGAGAGGACACTCTCTCCCTAACCCCTACACCCTCTGCCCCAAAGGCTAGAAGGGCAGGCCTGCACTGAGCACCTGCCCGTGGTACCATCTGCTCATCCCTGGTTCAGTCTTACCACTGCCTCAGCTCATGGGGAGGCAGGAAGCCCTGAGCAGCCCTGATGAGGGCATTCCTGCCCTGGGAAAACTGATCCCCTGGCACCCCTAAAGCAGGAGAGCTCCTCCTGCAAAGGAGGCCACAGCATCAAGCTGCTCCTTTCTCCTCAGTGGCTGCTGATTGCAGGTTTGCCCCAGAGGCAAAAGGACAGCAGCTCAATGCTCCCCACAGGGCTCCCCGCTCCTCTGGGCACCCTCTATTTCAGCACCTAGGACCTTGACTTCTAAAGTCTGTTTAGTGTCCAGGCAGTGAACAAACTGGGAACAGGGGCTGAGGGGTGTGTCTCACCTTGCTCACAGGGAGCAAGGAGCTCATAAGCATGCGTTGTCCAGAAGACCTCAGCACAGGTCTAGCCAGGCCTGCACTTACCTATTTCCTTTTTTAAACTCTGCCTCCAGGTAGCGGATCCCATCCCGGGCCCCTGGGTGTTCCTTCTTCAGTAAATCCAGGCCATCAATCACTGGTGGGCAAGGTGTGGGCAGGAAAGGACAAAACAGATGAGTTCAGACTGCTGTGACATGGGGCTCCAAAGGAAGTATCTGAGCTCACCCCAGAACACACCACAGGAAGAGAAGAGACCATGGCTCCAAACATGGCTCCCAAAGTTCTCTGAAAATGTGACCTTCTGTCAGCGATATACTTGGCAATTTACTTACCAACGCTCTCAGGTATTTCCTCATGTGTCTCCCAACTATCTTGTGAAGTATATCAGGGATTGTTATGCCCATTTCACAGACAAAGTGACAGGTTCAGAGAAGTGACAGATCTTGACTAAGGTTTCTGTGTATAAACTGGATCCCAATTAAGGGTGTCTCAATCCCAAACCCAGAGTCTCTTTTAGCCACACTCTATCTGTCCCACTCCCTCCCCAATATGCTTACCTGTCCTTGGGATGATGACAATGAAGCGGCCACTGGTAGCCAGCTGGCGGATGACAGGGAGGTGGTGGCAGAGGGCCTGGGTGTCGGGGACGAGGTAGGGAGACATAGCTGACTGGGCCTTGGGCTGCTGCAGGCTGCCCTCCAGCTGAGAGACCTCAAGCTGGTGAGAGAAGGCAAAGAGGGCAGAGCTGTGTGCAGCCCCTGCAGCCTGGGCAGCGGGAGAGTGGTGCTCAAGGTGGCTCTTATGAGGCTCCTCTTATTGCTAAGGGGGACAAGGGACTCTTTCTACCAGTATCCTTGTAAGAAAAGTAGACAGAAATAAGCATTAAGGGAAAGAGAAAGTGAATGGAAAGAGAAAAAAGTGAAGGGAAAAGAGAAGTGAAGGCAGAAAGGGGGCAAATGAATGAGCGAACAGGGAGGGGATCTGGGAGAAGCCGAGGCAGGTGGCAGGGGTGTCACGGCACAGAGCAGGGGGACTGCAGCTAAAGCAGGAAAGATCTGCCAGTGGGGTCTAAGCAAAAGCTGGAGTCTAGTTTATTAAAACGATTTGTTTGTAAAATTTTGATTCAATCAAAAGGCCACACTCGAGGATCCAGAGGGCCTCATGTGGCCCCAAGGCTGCACATTCCCCACCCCTGAGCTAGACCAAGAGCAGAAAGAGCACGTAGGCCCTGATTTCCTACCTGAAGTCGCAGCTGAGCCATGTCTCTCATGAGCCTGTTCCGACGAGCTTCCTCCTGTGCCTATGAAAGAAAATAGTAAGTTGTGGGGAGTTGGGAATATAGTCCCTTCTCCAGCGATCAAATGGACCAAGAGGACTTCCTGGGTCTGAAACGTGTGTCCTCATATAAAGTCACCTCTCTATCACTCCTGCTAAATAAAAGGAAAAGAGGGACAGAAGAAAAAGTATTCCTCTGTTGCACTCTGAATAACCTCCACTACCAGCCCACTGCAGGTCGGCCTTTCCCGGCACTGTGGGAGAGAGGGCCCAGACAGCCACGCACTGTCACCATGCAGCATACCACCCGCTGTGCTTCAGGGTTCAACCTCCGCCCCTATGCTCATCCTAATCTGGTCTCCCCTCCCATCCACACACACCCCTCACCTTCTAGCCCCATCCACTTGTCAGCATCTTCCCAATCTGATCTGCAGACTCAGCCCAGGCCTGACCACCCTGAGCTGCGGACCCACACATCCCACTGCAGCCCCATCTGC